AAGCGACTGGGCTGGGCCGGCGGCTCCACGGGCTTCGAATCCAGGATCAGGTTTGATGAAGAGAGTGACAGTCGTCTGGAGAACACAACAAAGAAATCCCAGTTAAAACCAGTAAGCGTGTTTCCCGGCACGAACAGGCGCGCCCATTAAGCCAGCTTCTCTGGGATGAAGAGCCTTTCCCCATCTGGATTTAAGTCAAAACTGCTCTAGGCTGTTACCACTTCATTCTCCTCATCCCTGGAAGCTCTGCTCTTCAGGCATTTGACCTTAGGCTGTGCATCACAAATAGCACTGGGGCACTGTTTCCAGGGAGGACACTGTAAAAAGGGGAAGGCAACAGAAGGAAAAATTCCAGGCAGAGGGAAGACTGGGCAAAGTTAGGTCAGGTATTTTCTCCCAGCTCACCTTTCTAACAATAGAATCTTTTCAATTCTAAGATAGCCTAAGAGGAAGTAACTATCCTTCCTAACATGAAAGCCTAATTACTAGGAAAGCTGGTCAGCACCTTCAAGAGGAAAGCCTAATTTCCTCTTCCTCTCCACTTCAGAGAAGCACAGTGGGCTTACTGCAGAGAGGAGGCAACTTTCAGTCTGGCTTGTTTGAACAGCTGAACAGATTAAAAGCCCAGAGGTTTCCATAACCTAAAACTACCTCTCTTGTTACATCTCTAGAGCACCAGTGACTTCCTTTGCTTATCACTGCAACTCCCCAGCAGCTTACACAACAGCTAACCACTGGCTTTCTTCCCAAGCACACAGTCCCAATGTGAGACAGACTAAGAGGCACTTCTGACAGCAGCAACAGCAGCTGAATACAGCAATCACAAAAAAAATTCCCTCATGTGGTGAATCTAGACACAGCTGAGGAACCACAGAAGACGTACCCAAATCTGCTTAGTCCTATACAATGAAATTAATCTGAGCTGAGATTTCTGGTTGTCATTTTAGAGGAATATAGGAGTATTTGTTTTAAACACTTGTTTAAATGTAACCCAAATCAACACAAGTATTTACCCCATTTTTTGTCTGTTTGTCTTGTTGGGATTTTTTTTAAAACAAGGGAAACAGCTTGGAGACACCTTTTGGGGTGCTTTAGGGTTGAGGGGGTTTTTGAAGAATATTATTCCCTTAGGGCTTTGTATGAGACACCAGAACACCCTGTGAAGGCATGGGACTGAGAAACAAAGCTGAGTAAGAAAGGACTGTAAATCAAAGGAAAAGTTGACAAGCCTACTTTCATTGTCCAAGCTGAATGAAATGCAAAAGAATAAAGAGAGCATAAACAGTGAAGAGTGCATCAGATGACTGACGATTCCCTCAAATTAATCAATCAAAGCATTAATCATGAAACAATTAAGCACAGTCTTGAAAGCAGAAGGAGAAAAAAAACAAGTGCTGCTTTAGGAGGAAACAGAAAAGTTAAAGTGACACAGGATGGCCTGTCCAAGTCACCAGGGTCTGCAAGCAGCCTGCGAGGGGCTGTGCCAGGCACACCAAGGCTAGAAGTTTGCTCAAGTGTTTTGACCAGAGGCCCAACACGAGATGTACTCATAGCAGTAAAGATAGACAGAAACACTCAAAACAAGTAAAGCCATACCTGAGAGCTGGGGACTGGGAAAGAAAGCGAGAAGAAATGCTGAGGTTTTCAGTTCTTTCCAGATTCCTACACGAGCCACCTAAAATTTATTAAATTAAAAGGGGAGAGAAAAAGGGAGCACTTTAGTTACAGAACAAACATTCTGACATATGCATTTTTTTTATCACAGAGACTATCAAATGTTCCCTCATATAAGGGCATTTTTTTTACCTAAGACCACAGAAAATGAAATCATTTCATTGCCTTTGCATTTTCTGTTCTACTCGGATTACTCTGCCTTAAACTGCTACTCTCCCTAAGGGCACACGCCTCCTCCTTTATTGCTTCCCTTTGTGTCCTATCCTGCCAGCAGGACTGTGAGGCACTGGCATCAAAAAGAAAAAACAGTCAAAGGATTAAAGAAATAAATAAACAAAATAAAACAAAGAGACAACTCACACAGATATTGCTGCCTGCAACCGTTATCAACTCTAAAATACGCTTTGTTCTGGAGCTGGTCGATAAAGACTAACCAGCTCCTTTGCCACTCTGATGTCTCCTTATTCTCTCTCTCCACCCAGCATTTCAGCCTTTTCTTTTGTGACATTTGTTATGCTTTACTGTACCACTAGAGGCCACTACATGTCACCTATGGGGGGCGGGGGGGTGAACAGAGCAGTTAATACCTTTATATGCAACAGGAAAAACTAGCCCAGGAACAAGAGAACAGCTCTTCAGGATTCCAGGGACAACACTTAACCCAAAATGACCCAAATCTCATCCACGCAAACTTATACACAGCCCAATGGAGTTAACAGAGGTTGCTCTTTAAGCCTCTCTACACTGGCTCCCCATTTTTGCTCCCTCGTACACACAGCCCCACGAAAGCCTAAGGGAATTTGTAGCTGGGTTTGATTTATAAAGGGCACATATCTGGAGTGACATCACAAAGTCCCCACACCGAGCAGAGAGCTGTACCTTTTCCATCAGTGCTGCCCAGGCTCCCAAAATGCTGCTTGAGGAACTTTTCCTGATCAGGTGGCTGGGGGATTTCACCCTCCGTCACGCTAGTACCCACATCCTCCTCTCCTTCCTCTCCCTCCAGGTCTGAGATGCCGTCCACACTGAGGGGCTCAGTGCTTTCAGAATCTAGGAAAAGGCAAAACCCCTCAATGCTGTAATACCATAATCACAGTAACATTAGCCAGGAGAAAAAAAAAAATATATATTTAGCAAAGACACTAAATTGAACCTAGAATGTTAAAGCAAAAGTCAGTCACCATTAAGTGTAATTCTCTAAGCTACCCCCTCCCCCAACCAGCACAGCCTAAAGTATAATCAATACTAAACCCATCTCCTTACCTAGCAAGGGAAAAGAAAGCCAAAGGCACATAAGAGAAGTGCACTTTAGCCAAATCCTGCCTTTACAGTGGCTCCACTGAAGTCCCTGTTCATATGTGCCTGAATCTTCACAGCATAGCTGGCAAGACTAATAGGAGCATGACCTCAGTTCAGCTCATGAAGAGGATCAAGTATTAGAGATCAGGATAGCAACTGATAAATACGGCACAGAACCACCCCAGCAAGTTTCCACAGTGTTCCACACCATATGTGAATCCATTTGTAATGTCTGTGCCTCTTACCTTCATTCGGATGGTCTGGGCTGGACAGGCGACTGCTGCTGTAATCCACAGAGCAGGCACTGTCAGGGCTGTGCTTGTCTGGGCACCCATTACTGTGATAACCTCTGCTCAGCTTCCCGTGGGGCAGTGCTTTTACCTGGAACTCACTACAAGAGAGACAGGAAAGATACAGCACTAGAAGAGATGGTTGGTTGACACGTAAAGAAGCACATTCTAACTTTACCAAGGCCTTACCTGTGTTAGTAACACCTTTGATTACAAAAGTAAGGCTTTAAAGAGAAAAAAGCAGTTGATTTCTCTCATTGTTATACAGTGTATTTTTTGCATTTCATTAAGCTTGGACAGTGAAGTCTCAAGGGGACTGTCTGATTTTGTGGGTGTTCTCAGCTTCCCATGATTACCTGGCACCAGCACAGCACTGCCCTGGCCTGATTTCAGCTCAGGTGAGGAACAAGTGTAGAAGCCCACACAATGAAAAAGGGACTCAACCCAGGCCTATAATTGCATGAGAGAAACTGAGTTTGACATAGATTTGAGCCCTAATAGGCTATTTTTCCCATGTTAATGACCTGATTCTTTGGGCAACTTCTGTGTTGCAAAATAGAGAAGATTCTGAGTTTGAAGAAGAATAATTTACTAAAGAATGTTGTACAAAAATACAATATTGTGATTTCATGGGTCTTCATTTTGTCAGAAGACACCAACAACGTTCTTTTGCCTGATGCCTGAGGACTTCAGTTTTCCACTTTATGAAATACTTGAGTATTTCTACTCCAGCACCAGGTAGGATGCAGAAGTGACTCAACAGAACTGAGTGGCAATTAACCCTGGCAGCTTGCAAACTGTGTGTACTTTGAGACGTGCCCAGTCTGCAGCCAGCATCACCAGAGGGCCTCCCTTTCTTACATGACAGAGCAACACATGGGTCTGCTCTGTCCAAATGTTATCATAATAAAATTTCAAATGTAAATAAAGAGAAACTGGGAGAAACCTAACAGCTTAAACTGCAAAATCTTGGCATGCACTCTTGCACAAGAGGCTGTCTAAAGCTATTAGGCCACTCTTCATAACAGAGCAGGAGGAGACAGAGGAAATTAAACAGCTGTTAGCATCAGGTTAAGAGGGGAAAGGAAGAATAAAATTCAGGGAAGGAAAGAAAATGGAGCACAGAATGAAACAGAAAATTAAGCAGGGTAGAACTAAAACAGAAGAAACAGCAGAGGAAGAAAAAAGGCCTCCACTATCTCCAATGCCTTTTCAGTTCCATGCAAGACATTCTGTTTCCCACAAAAGGGTCATCAGATACTACATTTCTCAAATTCTTGTCAAATTAGGCTTGAAACTGTCATAAATATTGACGTGCTGCATTTCTCCAGGACAGACACTTCACTGCCAGGTATACATCACTGTTGGGTGGTTTTCCACCTTCTAAATTTCCTTTTGCTTATTTCAACCCAGATAAGGGAGAAAGCAAAAAGGCTGCTCCCAAGTTCTTTGTTCAACAACAACAACAACAAAAAAAACTTGGAGAAAGCTGCTAATGTGAAGCTTCCTTGGAGGAAAAATTATTTTAATGGTGTCTTCCTAGTCTTGTACTCCTTCAGCATCAGGCTGGCATAAAAGTCTCAATGAAACGTGCCTGGCATCACTCAGGCAGTAAGTCAACTCATCCAAGTGACTGCACAAGCTGCAAGCAAACTACAACAGGAATGTCTAAGCCATGCACAGCAGAGAGCTTATTTTTAACCTGCTGGGGTCTGTGGGTTGGGTTTCATTTTGCTCAGGGTAGATTACACACTCCTCACTCTCAGAAGGTTCCAGTTCCTGAGAGAAAATCCCCTCTTCACAAGGCACAAGCTGGATCACTTGGGGTCGCACACAAGACCGGTTATCCTGGGGAGGTGTTGAGCTGCCAACCTGTTTAAAAAGAGAGGAAACTAGATATTACCAGTGTTCTTCCTTCAGCCACCAAGTGCTGTGCAGATCCAGAAAGTACACGTTACAGAATACGAGCAGGAGTCTGAGATCAGAAAACCCAGCACTCCTATGTCTTCCCTGTTCCTCAATTACTAAATCTGACAGATTACTGCTGTACTTTCCTATTTTGTGTCCTGTTTGCAATCCCCTAAAATTCTCTGGTAAAGCAGTGGACTCCCTTATCCCTCTTCAACCACACATCAAGAGTGTAAGCCATGTGGCAGCAAGTTCTTCCATTACCTTTTAGAGACCTATCAGACATAGTGCAGAGAAATCTGTGGGCCACAGCTGAAAAATGCTGATGTACTGCACGCAACGAGCCCAACACTCTTCTCAGTCACACAGTTACAAGGGAAGAAAAAGTTCTAATGAAGTTAGGCACCAGGACTGCTATCAATGGCAGAGTGACACGTTGCAGGAGTACTAACCACAAACGAGTTATCTAAATAAGTTTCTCAGAAGATAATCAGAGCTACCTCTGAAGATAACAACAGAGAGGCGGGACAAGACGCACGGGGAGTAGATCCACCTCAGAGCAGCACCACCCTTACTTTGCCGAGGTGCAGGGGAAGCTCTGCCTGCTCCTCTCTGTCCTCCCCGTTGCTGTTCTGTGAGAGGGAGTCCCTGCTGGGGGAGCGGGAGGCAGAGAAGGACTCCAGCTGGCGCAGGTCGAGCATGGACTTCACGGTCATCTCTATGTTGGTGGCTGGCTGGGACCAGCGCCCGCGCTGCCGGGGCACCTTCCCCAGGGGCGCCTCTGAGCGCTGGATTGCTGCCAGCTCCTTGGCCTGCAGGAAAGGGGGAAACAAGACAGTTCTGCTCATGGAAAGACAGCAGAAAAAACACACAAGACCCACAGAAAAACACAATTATGTCCATTTTCGTAAAGGCCCCAGAGCTGTCTATGAGACAGCTGGAAATTCCTCCCTTAATCATGAAGCATCCAGTAAAGAGGATACTTCTGTTGCTGCTTCTTGCATAACTGAACATTTAAATGCCCATCTCGGATCCAAGTGTATGATCAGCTTGAGCACCACAGGAGATTCAGGCCAGAAACGAAGGGGAGGATGCATAACATCTGATGAGAAGATACTGATGTAAAAACCCCAGGTGAAACCATCCCTTAAACTAGACTCTACTTTGCCACCCCCAAGACATTATTCACAGAGAGGCTTCTCAATGGTTTCCCACCACAGCTGCACCTTTCCCACCAGTGTGAATGATTCCCCAAGGGAATTTCTTTTCCAGTTTCCTTATGACTAGAAATACAACTTGAAGGCTTAGCAACTCACCCTCCTCATTTCCCAATGGGAAAGGCTTCTTGAGAGGGTAAGGTCTGGATCTGCAAAGGAAAAAAGATATAGACCTAGTTGACATCCTTGGCCAGCAGTCCAGCTTTTTAGAGACCTCTTATCTCACCCTTCCTTGAAGGCAGCATTCCTACACCTTTTGAACCAGCAGACCATTGCCAATACATGCTTTCCCATAGATTTTCACTGACTCAGCAGAGTTCTTTTGTCCACCAAAGGCTTGGGAAAAAAAACCTGCTCGAATACACTGTAGCATTCATGGTAAAAATACCTCAAATTAGGAATGGTAATCTCTAAATTTTATCAGACATCTCCCAACTCCTCCATGACATCTCTTTTGGCTGATGTGGACTTCTAATAGCTTGTAGCCCCAAATCCAGGACACTCAAAATTTGTTTGGCCAGTTGGAACTAGCAAGAAACTTGGCAATTTTGCAATTGAATCTCTATTCAGAGCACCCTGGAACACGCCCCTCTTCAGATGCAGGAAAGAACAACTCCACATTGCCCACTGCTGTTGATCCACCTCCTTCTGGCTTGGTCTCTTTCTGCCCATATATTGTTATACCCTAAGCCAGTGTTTTTGGTCTTCTCTCCACTTCACATTCATGTCATTTTTCTCCATCTCCACCCATGCCCCTCTCCCATTTATACCTGAGTCTCCTTCAGTGTTGCAGCTGGACTGGATGTGGAAAGACTGCAGCCCACGTAACTCATCTTCATCATTCCCTTCATCTTCACCATCCTTGTCACTGTCTGATGAGAGTGCAGGCACCGAGGACAAGGCAGAGATGGACTCGTGCCTGGGAAGCAGGAATTGGAAGGAGTATCATGGTCAATCTCAAGAACTGCCCAGCATTTCAATCCTTATGCCAGGCAGTTCTCCACCTTCTCTCCCCAACAGCCCTCACTCTGGCAAAACCCATCTCTGAGAAAGAGGGCAAGTTAAACCCTGCACAGAGGCAGGGGGTTTGTAGAGCCTGCCACAGAAATGATCTCAGATGAGTGGAAGAATGACAGAAACGAGGACAGCAATAAATCAGTCTGAGAAAGTGGAATGGAACTTGGCCTCCCATTTCAGACCCCACCAACGGATAAGGTCAAGACAGTAGAGCATATTTGAAAGGGAAATTTTCACACCCTTAAGCATTTCCTCTCTGGAACTGTTTAACACATCAAAAATGTCACAGAGATACTCCCTGTTGGACAGCAATTGAGTAGATGGTAAATTATCCCATAAGAGACAGGTTCCTGTGAAGGATTGCACCACACAGAACCTGCAGGCACAGCCCACACACCCTAAGAGCACTGTGCTGCCTTTTTTAGCATTCAGGAACAAGGAATGATATAAAACATATTCTGTGCAGATCTTTAATCAAAGTAGATCAGATGAGTGTTCCCACATAGAACTCGGAGGCACTCCCAGCACAGAACTCCCCAAGAGCACTCAAGGACACTTCCCAAGACTAAACTTTATCTTCCCCCTTTCTTCTTCTCTTCCCCTTCCTACCCTCAACTCCTTCAGTCAACAGAACCAAATGAACTAACCCACTTTGGACAATAACTGAACAAATGAAGAATCCCTGACAAATAAATTTGAGCAGCACCCACTCCATGGCCTTGAGTTAGAGTGTCAAACTCATGATCAGTGCCATTTATAGGATATCACTAGTGGGTGTTGAGAGCCAAGCATTATTCATTAAATAAAAATAGCTCCTCCACCAAACACAGAGCAGCCTGGAGAGAGACCAGCTTCTCCTGCAGCTGACAGACAGCAGGCAGTAGTGAAACACAGTTAAGGAATGTTAATCTTTTCTCTTCCCATAGAGTGGCAGAACATTAATTTCCATTTTATTATGAGCAGTTAAGCAAAAACTACCCAACCCTTTCAGATGAGCTTTGAGGTGTTCTGGCAAAAAAGTGAAGCAGCCTATAGTCTGCAGAGTCCTCCAGTGAGACAGTTTCATGTCAGCTGTCCTCATCCACTTGTGACATTTGAGTTTGTCAGTCTCTTCATCTTTTGTACTGTCTCCCTGTGTGTCCATCATGTCACTCTCAGGTTCTTGTCTCTAAGCAAGGGAACCCCAACAAACCTGAAGCACCACAGGATGTTTGAGGTTACACCTGTTCCATCCTATGAGGTATATACATTTAGGTTATACATTTGCCAAACTCCTGCATGTACTGTTGTTGGTGTAATGAAGAAGGATTGTTGTCCATGTGTTTCATGATACTAACAGAAAGATGGCCTCTGCTCCTCAGATGGTGACTTGACAAAATTAGTAAGGGGGATAAAAGTATGTTCCAATAGCCTCAAAGGAGCCAAGCAAGAGAACGTAAAACATATTTTGGAAGTCAGATAGGCATTTTTTCATACCTCACAGGAAGTGCCTAAAAAATTATGAAGTCACGTGTGTTTGATACCAATGTAAGTTTATCTTGCATTATCCCAGCAAAAATTCAGACCCTCCTTCCCTATTCCCCTTTTTACAACTCAAATATGCTTTTCCAGCTCACTCCTGTGACCTGAAGGGAGATAATGAGCAGAGTTTTCAAAAGGATCTTAGTCCCACTGACTTGAAACTGAGATACTCCTGAAAATGAAACCTAGGTTCATGTCGTCTTGTGTGTTTTAACTGTTGGGCTTGCCCAAGTGAAGCCCCCAATTCAGACTTCACTACTTTCTCTTTTCTTTCCCTGCCTTCCTCCATGTACTTTGTAATTTATTCTAACCCCCTCTGTGGCACACACATCCTCAACACTTTTCCTCCATTCTTGTTCATGCTTAGAGGGAAGCCAGAGTAATGCAGAGTGAGGTTTCAAGGGCAGAAGCTACTTCTAAAGCAGCACCACACAAGGGGATTTTTAAAGCAAAGGAACAAGGCTTCTGTCTGCTGAGAGCAGGTTCAGCCAAACTGCAGTAGACCATCATTATACCAGAATGACTGTTCCAGAGTGGCTGTTCCAGAATGGCCTGTACAGACACACCCAGTTCTCAGGATACATGTGACCCACTTAAAGCAAGGATTTTAATTGTCCTTGCTCTTGGTTTTTCCCTTTGCTGAGGAACCACCCCATTACAGTACTGTGCCTGGATCTTGTTTGGCATGTGATCTTGGAGGTCCCTTCCAACCTAAATGATTCTATGATTCTATGGATGGGCAGAGCCTGTTGCACTTCAGCTCCTGGCTTCTCAAGGGTCTACCAGCATGGGGTCAATGGCAGGGAAGGACCTTCAGTTAGGAAGTCTTCAGGGCACATATATGGACTTAAAAGTGCCAGGTCGTTATGGAGTTCTAGCATTAAGACATCTGACATTAGGTACTCTGTATTCTTTTGCATGTCCTGAATTCAACCCTTCTTTCTCTAAAACAAAACAGACAAGAATGGCAACTATCCATTTAAAGACGTTTTCCTGCTCTGATCTTGTGCTATTTAAACCCCCAGCTTCAGGGGCATATTTATGAAGCTGTAACATCCTACGTGGAAGGGATCACGAGCAGATTTCCACCACCACCCAACTCCCTTCCTCTCACAAATTCCTAAGGGTTTTAAAAGGAAAGTTACCCTGACTTTCCCCCACAGAGAGATCACCATACTGCTGACTTCAGAGTTTCCCTGGTGTTGTAATTGCAGTAGTTCAGCAGAGACTCAGGCACCACTTCTGATCTGGCATCAAAAGCCTGCCCCACTCTAAGCCCTGGAAACCACACAGCTTTCCTGGACTGGACCACAAATCCACCAAGAATTTGATAAGGGGTTCTTCTTTCCAAATATATCTGACACAGAGTACTTCTTCAGCATACATTTTAGACAATTTAATTTGTGTAACATTGCTGTCCCTTGCTATTTATACCAGAGCTTCAATGAAAAGTCATGGAAAAAGTGACTTTTAAAGCTAAAATTACAAAATATAAATGCTCAGCAAAAACATGACTATAAGCCCTGCAAACATTCCACACTAAAACAAATTTAAAACTTCCCTTCCATAAATTTGAAATGAGCTTTTGTAAAACATAAATGCATATTTGGATCAAAATCAAAACCCTATTAAAAGGACTTTACATGGTTCCTTCTCTGAAAACTTAACTCAAAACTAAAGTGTACCAGCTATATCAGCTGAGTACAAGTTTTATTATCGTGAACAGTCAAAGCTCCTCATGTTCAGGAGATGAGAGAAAAGCAGGTATCTGCAATTACCACAAACAGAGGCAGAACTGAAAAGCTCTCAGGAGCACTATGGAGAACTGTGGGTCATACAGGTCAGATTAGTTCCACAATAATCCAATATCCCATAAAGGCGAGTCAGGGAAATCTTTCAGACAAGAAATTTTAGTCTAGAAGTTTTTTGAGGGACTGAAAAGGCTGAGACCCTTCTGTTTTGAGAGAAGGCTGGATGGAGAGAAGATATGATAAAGGTTTACAAAACCATGGGGACTACAGGTAGCTGGATGCAGAACAGTTCAACAAAGCTCACAATATTCAGAAGCAAGGAGCTTTCAGTTAAACTAACAGGAGAATGGTTTAACAGAGACCAAAAAAAAAAACAAATCCTTTTTTCCACAGAGAGAAGTGAATTCCAGAAACTTGTCACCAAAAGAGCTTGCAGAGGCATACCACGTTACAAAGTTCCAAGATTTGCACAATTTTAGGGGACCCTGGGTCCATGATCAAATGCTAAAGGGAACAGGTAGAGATGTACCTCCTGACACAAAGGTTCATACAGCAAGGCTCACACAGCATCTCCCTAAATCACATCTCCCATTGCCACTGTCACAGGCAGAATACTGGGCTTCATGGAGCACTGATTTGACCCAGAAAAGCATCTTCTGTGTGACTGCCCCACCAGTCACAGCTGGATACAGACAGCACTGTCCAGAACTGGAAATCTTCAGCCCCCCCACTACCTCCTCAGCTCTGTTTTGTTTCCCCAGCACTATTTTGATTGTTCATCCCATCACACACTCACAGTATGGAACCAGCAGAACATGGTCCTTCCCCCACCAAATTCCAGCCACACTGTTCTAGAGAAAATCTAGGAGAACAAATGACAGGAAGCTCTCTTATACTACTGGCAGACCTTCTGAGACAACACTTTTACACCACAGGGTCCCATCCAACCCTCCACTGCAAGCTACACAGACAGACATTGGAAACAACCCCAACAGGTACAGGGCATCTAGAAAGTCAATCTTACTCAAGCTCATTAGTTTTTCTTCTCCCACCTCAGAACTGCTGGTCCAATAGGATCTTCCTCCATATTCAGTCCCAATCCACAATGTTATGCTGATCTCCAGTGACCACAGCGGGCGATCAAAACCCAAAACAAGCCTTCAAAGCTGACCAAACAAGCAGATTCCAGGCTCACACCGAGGTTACCAAACAAGTTTAATAGTTGTGAGCTTGGCGTGGCACTAACGCCGCCCTTCAGCGGGCGTTGGTGGCGGCAGCGAGCATCACCTCACGAGGAGGAGCACTGGGGTTATCTGTCACAGCCTGAGCCTCGGGAGGGTACACTGCAGCTGCTGGAATAATGGAGAGTCTGCTATAAAAAGCACATTGCTTGACAGCTCCAGAATTTTGGCTAGAAAAAAGGCTTCCTGAGTTCTCCCAGCATCATTACCGAAAGCGTTTAGACAAGACTCGTTTCAAGAAGAGCAGATCAAGACTTCCCTAAATGAAACTATGCAGACAGACTGGTTTCAACATTACTTGCTCCCAAAGGGAGTGGGAAGGTCCTTGTGATACTCAACACAACAACCAGTGTGGTAAGTCCTCCAATGTTTCCGCATGTTTATATCCCAGACTCGATTCGCAGTCACTTGGAGGAGGAAAATTGTGGGTTGTAGCATCAGAATTCTGTGTTTATCACCTTTTTCCCCACTTTGATCCTTGGTCAAGACTCTCTCCTGCATTGCTAACAGTCAAATTAGTTTCAGCTACACATTAACTACAGAGAAAGCAAACACATTACACTAATAATCCATAATTCCCTGGCACTTTTGTTCTGTTTAAGAACAGAGTCTGTATTTAGGCACCACTTTTTAAAGAAAGGTCACCAGATAAATTTAGAGCTATTCAGCTTGTAGGCTGTGGCAGTCTGTTTTTAGATACATTGTTTACCAAGCAAAAAATAATAATATGATTTAGCTTCCAAGAACTTTTCCCATGGAAATGATTTTTATATATGTATTATTTATATCACAATTATTTTTAGGTGACCTTTTTCAGAGCCTCCGGAAAGCAGTTAACAAAGAAACAGTACAACTCACCCAGCTCACAGGGTATACTTGAGCACTGACACTGCAGAAAATAGCCTTTAAATTGCATTCAGCCTTGATCCAGAGAACTTTACTCATGAAGGAGCAAGGATTCCCTGGTGAGATGCCGCATACCAGCCTCAGTATTGCTTGGTAAGCTGCTTATTAAAGTTTCTGAACACATCATTGTGCTAAATTAAGACACAAGGAGCACTGCATACACATTGCAATCACTGAAGCAACACGAAGTCTGTGTGGAAGATCACAGTCAGGCTTCCACATCCAAAGAAGGAGGGCTCAAAACCCATGGCAAATCCAACAGACTCTCCAAAAGAGAAATTTTGGAAGACGCCATCAGTGAAGAAAGTAGGAACCTTACACTTGAATCCCAGTGCCATACTTCTCACATTAAACCCTACAGCCACCTCTTCTCAGTCTCCTCTGCTCACCTCATGAGTCCAGCTGTCTTGTGTGGAGGAGACTTTTCTGCCTGCTTCCCCCTCTGCTTCATGTCAGCCAGTCGCTGCCGCATGTTGATGGTCATCTCGGAGCTCAGGCGCCAGATGAAGATGCAGCTGAAAGAGGGAAGGTGAGGCTGGGGTCAAGCCACAGTTCAGGTCATTGATATTATCAACTCCCACTGCAGAGGCCAAGAGAGCCCTTCTGTCTGTGGTGGGGAGAGACACACAGAAACAGCTTCACAGAAGTTCAATCCCAGCACAAGCCTCGTGACAAAAGGGTACAACCTGCCTGGCAGAGACTCCCTGGGGGTGAGGGCAACCACGACTGATCTCTGTTCCTATCCCTTCATTTGACTCTATCACCAGCTCCTGAAGGCAGTGCCATAAGCCTCCCCATGGTCAGCAGGATAAGTGGAGCCTACAAACTGCATCTCATCTTCAGCTACTAGAAAGTAAAACAACAAGCACTTTCTTTGAAATTCACCCTCAGTGCTAACTAATTCTTCCCATCTCCCCCATCTTTCCTGTCTAGCTGGGTAGACTTCCACTGATGCAGGAGCAGAGGCAGTGCTTTTGCTACCTCTTACAGAATCCTGCACCCTACTCTGGAATCCAAAGAGGATTTAATTCAGTTCCTCAAGACCCATCAGTGCCACAATCCTCATGCATACTCCAGTTCACAAAGGAGTTTTCCAACAAGGGGCTTTCCCCTCTTCCTTGATAGCCTGTAAAAACTCATTTGCTGTGGCATTTTGAAGGACAACCATGAACTTTGGTCTCCCTGACCTGAGGCAAATCCTGAAATGCTGAATGCCTGCATGTCACCATGTTTCTCCTCTCACAAGAAGACATTTTAAAAGGTTTTTGTTTCTATAGCACATGAAAAGAAAATAGAAACCCCACTTAGCAGCCTGTGAAAATTCTAATTAAAAACTAAAAATGCCCCCCGTGGCACTCCCTTTGTGACAAAGCTCAGGGGCATCACACACACAGACACTTCCCACCAGCAACAAACACACCATCATCCTCTTGCCCCAGCTTCCCAGCCAGGAGAAGTGGTGAGGCCCCTGCATCTGGGAACTGTAGCAACCCAGGGCAGCCAGCTGCTCCCCCTCAAGCAGCAGCTCCCTCACACGTAGCAGCACCCAGCATCTGCTGCTGAGAAAAGCAGGCAACAAAATTCAGAAAGCCAATCTGGCTCCTTCATTTATCCCACCCCCACAGCTGTCGAAGCCAGAGATAAGCAGCAAACAGTATGGACTTGCAAAAGCATCAGCATTCAACACAAAGCTCCACAGCAGCATCCTCCCACCAGCTCCTTTTGCTGCTTTCTGTTCTAACCTTGCAGTGTGTTCCTCACACGGCTCTCCCAGCCCTCGTGCCCTTCCTCATCTCTGGTCTTCCTTCTATTCTCAGTTTTGCTCTTTGGACATGCTGCTGTGTGTGAACAGAGTATTGTCCCTGTTCTCCTTTGAAAACTGTGGTTTCTCACAGCAAAGCTCTTCATGAATCCTTTCCTCACTTTCCAACCCTCTCCTCCACACCCTTAGTGAAGAAAATGACCCTTTAGCTCACAGAAAAGGTCAACAAGGGAACGTTGCACTAAGTCACAAGGCTCACTGGTGACCTCAAAGCTTCCATATTTCTGGAATTTATCAGAAATCCACACTAAAAGGACTCTCTTCTGCAACTTTTTCCCTCATCTGTTTACACACGTGAAAGGTCCACAAAAAGGAAAATTAAATTATTTACCTTTTACTGAAAGACAGAAATAAAATATATCACCCTAAATCTTATCCGTTGGTTATGTTTTGTAACAACTCATCTTCTCAAACTCTTTTTCCAGTTCTATTGTATTTTATTAATAGAAAATAGTAAGAAAGAGAGAAATCTGGGTTGCTCTGGTCTTGAAATAGCACTCCAGGAACAACCTTTCTCAAAGGAGAAGTTTTATTTGGTTCATCTTATTGAAGCATTCACTGATTCCAGAAGCTGTGGGTCCACTCACCTGTACAGTCATCATACTTGAATTGATTTAGCTCAAATCAGCAGAGAATGCAGCTGGAGGGGGTGATGCTGATGGAGTGACCTGAATCACCTTAGTGAGAGGTCAACCCCAGCCCAGCTGACATAGGGGAGCAGAGAAGAGACCATACAGACAGGAGCAACGAGTGGAGGGAGGCTTCAGAGAATCATACAATGGTTTGGCTTGAAGGGACCCTAAAGATCATCCCGTTCCACCTCACCTGCCACAGGCAGGGACACCTCACACTAGACCAGGATGTC